GATGGAGTTTGTAAAAGATAACTGATGAAAGATTTGCAAATGATATATTCAGTGTATGATTTTCATATTTCACGAAGGCACTGTGTGATTTTGCGCAAAGTAATAAATTGGCTTACCTTACCTGAGTTTTCGTTCACTACTGTAGTACTGAAAATTGTGGTCTATAGATTTAGCATAAAAAAAATGATATGACTACCTTCAATTCATACCTCTTTTAGATATTGTTCACATGATCAAACTACATACCAAGTCAGGAGACAGGTGTGCAAGAATATTCAGTTGCTAATCTGTTTAGAAAAAAATTAAGACTTGACTGGCAAATACTTTACATGTCTTTTTTTACTGGGTTTTAAAAACATATTAATCTAATCACGTGTTCATGAATACAGTGTAAACAACTCAGATTTACTTAACACATGACTGATATAGATTTGGAAATAAAGAAAATTCATGTATTTACGTATGTATTCAACAGATTGTCCATGATCGTTAGAATGACTAATAATGACTATGCATGTTCCGCATGCTAACTAATCGTTGAAATACAATTATAATTCATCTGAACTGAAATTCAGGCTCTCGCCTTAATTCATGTAAATAGCACAGCTTTCAAAAGAAGTACGCTGCTATTTGTCAGATTATTACCAAAAGCTTCCCCATAATGAGAATTCTTTATTTGTGCTAATACACTGAGAAGTAAAGAATCTGTAACTAGTAATTAGTACAAGTAAGTCCACAAAACCAATTCATAAGATAAACGAAGAAACTAAGCAAACTAACAAGTTTCTGTTAGATATAAATAGTCAGCAATATTAGTTTGCTATATGTAGTTTGTAAATAATCTTCCAACCAAAACCTTAATACGTTTGAAAGTATATTATTAATTAATTATTATTAATTAATTCTCTCCAGATGCTTCTCAGCACTTAGGTTATTTCGATATGAGTCATATGTAAATTCTGGAAATAATTGTAGATTTAGTTAGAATAAGTTGGTTAATTATGAAAACTGAATAATACAGTAATATAGTTCCAGCATAACGAAACCAGAACTCTACATAAAAAAGGATAACTATTTATTGTTCTTAACTGATATTGTGTAATTATCAGTGCTAATTTGTCATTTCTACAAAGATGTTAGTTCTAAATATCTTTTGATAGAATATTCATTTACTTATAAATAATGAATCATATTTCGGTTCTCACAATTTCTACTAATCAAGATTTTTTTATATTTGCACTGTCACTTATATCATTTGCTACATTCTTGCCAACTGGATAGAAATGCAAACTATTATATTTAATTAATTTATACCTTAACAACGAATATTAATCTCTAAAATTAATGAATAATTCATATCTCTCGTTACAATTCTTGTCCTTACTCTGTCCACTTTTATTAATATATAGAAATATACAAATACTTTCTAAAAATGTCTCCTTTTTCATTCTTCAAGTCACTTAATCGTACATTGATTACGTGATATAAGTTGTCCAGAAAAATTACGTTTTCAAGAAAAAAATATGTTTTGGACAACCCTTCCACTTATTTTAAAGATTAAATATAAGCTAATGAATAGATAAATAAAGTAGACTTAGAAGACAGTAAAATTGTCGAAATATATTTCATGAATTGATTTAAATTTGTAAACAAATCTGTGATAACTAAGAAACAAAGTTTAGATTGATTGTTTGCTTTGCTCATCTACATGTAGTCAAGAGTTCTGCACCAAATGTTTATCTTTAAAGACGTGATAATAAATCACGTGAAAATTCCATTCATGGTTATTAGAACTCATACTGTCAATACTTTGACAAGATGTATATACCTAATTAGATTTAGTACGTGTATCAACCAGTAATTATTGACTAAAAATTACTGTCACTCAATAATAAAGGAAAACTAAAGAAATTAGAAAATCTTTATAATTAATTTTTAGTATCTTGATTATTTTTTAGTTCAACCGGATGTTTCTCTCTTAAGTTACAATAAAAATTTTAATGAACATAGTGAATTAAAGAAAATTTCACTGCATTGAATGTGTTTAACTGATCACTTTGCTATAAGCAAAACTGTTCCAAGTATTTCTGTTTTTTCATACACATAGTTCCCTTTATTATCTTAAATAGAGCAAGAACAAAGATTGGTGCAGAATAATATGAATTCATTTTATTTCGTTAGTTTCTCATCAGCTGCTTACAACCTAAATTATTTAAAATTCAACATTAATACAGATATTGACATATTTATATATAAGAGTGTGATTAAGGATCAATACATGTGTATGATGATGTAGCAAGCAAAGATTCAGATAGAGTTAATGAGCTCATAAAATGTTTGATTCGAATAAATAAATAAATAAATAAAGTTTGAGAGGGAAAGTTCTGGAACATTGAAATAGGGATTAGAACTCATGAAAATAGATCCTGTGACGATGTCACAGGATCAATCAATATGAGATTAAAAACTGTGCTGACAAGAACTTATCCTGCAGCGAAATTGATTGTCCTGTCCAAAACAACATGCTCTTTGACACAATCAAAGGTCGACAGGTATCCCTTTCATGTTACCACCAACTGTGTATACAAATTTACATGTACCTGCCAAAGCAGTTACATTGGTAGAACAGAAAGGAGAGCCTACGTCCGATTCAAAGAACATATTCCGAAAAGTTTAAGGTTAAATGGATTGAACGCATTCAACAGTGCTATCGCAAGACATCTCCTTGATACAGGACATAAAGCTGATATACTGAAGTCCTTCAAGGTGATTAACAAACAATCAAACTCGAACCTTTTGAAATTCGCTGAAGCGTTAGCAATCAAACGCTTAAAACCAGATCTATGTATACAAAAAGAGACAGTAATAAATCTTTCTTTACCCTGGTAACAATAACCCCCACTCTTTCTATTAATTTGCTCCTATTTATTTATTTATTACGTCATTATTGCAACTCTTTCTGAAATATAAATTACATCATACATAAATGATTGATTTCAATTCATATTTTCTTTATTACCATTAATCTATTTTCATGAGTTCTAATCCCTATTTCAATGTTCCAGAACTTTCCCTCTCAAACTTTATTTATTTATTTATTTATTCGAATCAAACATTTTATGAGCTCATTAACTCTATCTGAATCTTTGCTTGCTACATCATCATACACATGTATTGATCCTTAATCACACTCTTATATATAAATATGTCAATATCTGTATTAATGTTGAATTTTAAATAATTTAGGTTGTAAGCAGCTGATGAGAAACTAACGAAATAAAATGAATTCATATTATTCTGCACCAATCTTTGTTCTTGCTCTATTTCTGTTTTTGTAAGCCACTGTGAATTGACTGAAGTTAAATATGAAAACTATTAGATACTGATTCAGTGATTTAAAAGTTAAGTGCTCGCATCGAGGCCTGATGTTTGTACGTGTGATGGGGTAATAGATGAACTGTTTTGAGTCCCATACTTTTGTTCAGTGCCTTTAGGTTTTCAACAGCTGTTTAGCTACAATCAGTCAGCGTTGTCGAACTATCAAAAAGTATCGATTCGTGAAAGTGTTCACAGTTGTTCTTCAGTGTTAATGATTTCATTCATTTTCAACTCCACATAAATCATAATTTCCCACTGAAATGTTCATATTAGAAATTATATTGTTATTTAATTATTTCTATTTTATATAATTTATGGTATTACTAATTATTTGTTGAAATAATTTTTGATCGATGAAAGAAAGGAATCATTTCTTAAAATAAAAAAATGTCACACCTATTCTCATACTATTTACTGGGTGAAGGTGATGGAGTAACGCGTTACTTCAAATTTACTGCTTAATAAACATAAAAATAATATAAAGTTGTAAATAAAATTTTCCCTTATTGATTTACTAAGTAACGTGAAAAGTGGGCGGATTTCATGAGTTATGATTAAAGCACTTTAAAAAACACAGAAAAAAACATTAAATTAGCTTAAACATGATGAAATTCTTTTTGTTGAATCGATGTGAAATGCGCCACATGAGTCTATTCAAACAAAAATGTCTACTTATTATAATATGACAATAAAGAAAGTTAATGTAATGTAACTTTTTAACTAAGTTTGACTTCACTCATTTAACTCTTGATCTACGCTTTTAGTGTAACAGTTGGTGGTACTATACAATTGCCCCAATCAAACTAGGTGAAATGGGGAGTACAAAATTGCAACTCAGTGAATAATAGCCCAGCGTTTTTAGCTAATATGTCACTGCACTATCTGAAAAAAATGATAAGAGCTTATTCTATTTCTCAGACGATAATTACCTGATTACTGAAGTAAAACGCTGAAGCATAAAATTCGATGTATTTTTGTTGAGAGGTTTTGTAAAGATTCGTTCAATTTTTAATTGATTACTTGTTGCAATGTGACATTAATTAGCATGTCATTGAAAGTGTGAGAGCATTAAATGTTTATTTCATTTTGGTATATACATCTCAGTGACATTTACCCATCCATTTCTATTCTATAGTAAATGATTTCGTGAATTATTAGTTCAAGACTGAGAAAAACTATGATAATAAGCCGTAGCAGAAGTTCGCTTTCTTTACTCACAGTATTCACAGTACTGACAGAAAAGAAAAGAATATTTTCATATGTTTTTAGAAAGAATGATTCATTTATTCATATATTGCTCTTTTGCCGCTATACATTTTTCAATTTATTGTTATATTTTGTAACAAAAGGCAAGTCACTTGGGAAAAGCCGTTTTTAGAAAAATTGTATTCAACAATTAGGATTTATGGAACTATTATCAATAATTTTCGACTAAACTATTGATTATTTCGCTTTGTGGATTAATTTTCAAAGAGCAAAATGTTGAATTTGTTTAACTCATGTAACTCATTGGCAAATAATGACAGTAATAATATTAATAATGTCGGTAATAATTACATTTTTTGTTAAAAGCAGTTTTCCTTTGCTTATCTTGTTTTTCTTTCTCTAACTACATTACTTAGGTATATTTTTACGCCCATTACCACCACATTATCTCCCAGCTTTAAGATTATTTCGTGGAACATTTCTCCTTATATTCTTTCTTTGTTTATTTGGTGTAAATACATATGGATGGCGTTCATCTGGTGTAAATAATGTCCTTATTTTTGAATTGGATCCAAGAACACATTTAGATCATTTTCAATTATTACAGGTGAGCAGTGTAAATATTAAGACATATTAATAATATTACTATTGTTACTAATTAGACGATTTTTGTGATGAATAAATTTTATTTCTTCCTTCATGTAATATTAAGATATTAGGTTCTCATTTTCTACTGAGATCTCACCTAAATGTATATTTGTGGGTAGGAAATGAGTATATCATCTTGCTTGCACAGAATTTGAAGAATTTAACATAAATGTCACAAAGTAATAATGTTAGCTACCTAATCATTGAAAACGTTACATTACTGAAAAAATATTTTATTTCAGTTTAAAACTCCATGTTATTTTGTATTCTAGATTGTTTATGAATTTCCTGATATCATGTTATTTTTGAAATATCAGGCTGGAATTAATTGCCCTCGGTATTTTTAGTGTCCAAACTTGTCATTCAACGTCACATTCAAGCATAAATCTTCATTTACCAATGGAATTTTTTACATCGGTTATAAGTTTTCTATTGGAGTCTCTATAAATCTACCTCAAAGTACAGCACTGTCGGGTAGTTGAGTGCAAGCATTTTGTTATAATTTCATAGCATTCTTGTTTATTTGAAATCTAGTCATGACCATCAACTTGTGTTCAAATATTGGTTTATTCCAAGGTAATAAAAAAGAGGTTATCGGTTTCTTTATGACTTCGTATCTGATATCAGTAGTTTACCACCATATACCTTATAAAATCTGTCAAAAGACCTGTAAATAATTTGAAAGCTTTAAACAGAAAGATCACATTCTGCCTGGTGATTGTTAATCTACTTAGTGAAGGAGCAAATATACTGCATATCATTTGGATCAGTAGTTTTTTGAAATATGGCCTATAAAACTAGAACAAGTATTCAAATAGCCTTTTATATGCTGTCATTCCGTAGCTACGGCAGTGCTAACATGTGGCACTCTTAAAAGTTTGATTATGAAGGGTGAGATCAGAAATTACAACATTAGGTGTGAAAAACGTTTGTTCTCCCTTTAATTAGAGCTTCGGATTAAAGTTTTTAGAATTTTGATTCATTTTTACTTAAATATGTAGGTTTATTACATTTACAACAAATCCAAAGAATAAACGCAATAATCAGTCGGTCACTTCAAAGTAAACTGGTTTGTTAGAAAAACAAATACGCGGTAATATCCTATGATAGTTTCTTTTTTCAACAAAAAATTCATCTGATTATGTGTCAACTTTTAGTTTTTACTGGTTTTATCGATCGATTTCCATTCATGACAACAGCGGTCTGTTAAGCCTTAATTCTGTGTAAATAGTATTTTAAAAAGTTTGGTGAAATGTCTTCAAGTTAACTGGGAAGGTTTCACCTTTAAAAAACTCATTGTTTATAACAATGAGCACCGAAAAAAACTTTCTTTATGATTAGAATGATACTTCTCGAATTTTAATGAAAGTAGAAACTACGATTAGAATTAAAAAATTGTTTAATTGAACACTATAGATCCTCGCTCAGTATCGCCAAATGACTGATATTATGAAACGTAACTTAGGCTTTGACACATTGGTTAAAGGTGCCACTCTTGTAGTAATGGTTAAAAGCCTAGTTTGATCCTACATAGGGTAAATGTTGGTCACTGTTGAGCAGTTCCAAAGGAGAACAGAACAGCTATCACGTACTTCCTGGTTTTAAAATGATTCTGCAAGTGGTGTTAATCCGTAATGGAAACTAGTTCTTTTCAGTAAATAATATTATAATATCAACATTTATAATTTGGTTAATTCATGTCTGTTGCTAATCAATAAACCCCACATCCTTTCAGGTGAAGTAGGTTCCAGAAAATGTGTAGGAATATGCTATTTTTAGTGCACGGATTATTTTAATAGCATTCTTTGCTACCGTAAAGTAGTAAATATTTAACCCATGTATTACTGTAAACTCATCCGAAAGCATCGATACTCTGACCCGTTGATTTAAATCCATACTAATGGAAACTACTAATAGTCAGTCAACAATAATGACTTATGTTTGCGTGAACTGAGCGAAATATCTCTAGGAAGTGTATATTTGTATACGTAGGTTAGTCGGGATTTCAGTACTCGATTAACTAATAACAACTTATATACTTGAGTACCGAGTGGTTTGAATGACTATAAAATTTAGGTTGCGTATTTCATTCTAGACACTATATCACCTGTTAACATGAACGAAAGGTTTTTGTCCATAATATTTACAATAAAGTTTAAAGTTCACTTAAAACGTGTATCATGAACAGTATTCATTTAACATGATATGACATTTTTATTGTTGAATTTAGAGCTTCACTATGTGAGTAGATGAATCATTACTGACACAGCTTATACTATTCGATAATATTTAAGCGGCTAAAACATGACATGAAAATCTTTTTTTGTGTGTTTTGTGTTAATTTTGTTATTGAACTACTGATCAAAATTAGTAAAACTGAGTTACTAATACTGACAATCCAATCATGCAAATCATGCATGAAGATTATGCTTCAGTCTGAAATTTGAATTCAGCTTTTTTCTATAAATATCATTTTGAATAGATTCTATTCAGGAATTCATTGTTAGCGATTTAATTGTAATAATGATCAACTAAAGACAATCGTCATTAGCTGCTAATCGTATCTTCTGAAAAAAGAGCTATAAATGATAATACCATCAAACTGCCTTCATCGAGGTATGAAGAGGGAAAGTTCCAACCATCAAGCTACTAGTTTTCAGGAATATTAGACAATGACATATAAATTGAATTATTAATAACAGGTCACTTGATTAGTTTTATTTAGCCTTAAAGTGAGAGTGACAAATTGATTGATGTTATTGGTTTTCACACTTTAAATCCGTTTTTAATAGACGGTAAGAATTATCTAAGTTTTAAACTAGAAAGCCTTGAGTTTAGCAGTTTTATTATTCGGAATATGCATTAGTTTTTGCAAAGTTTTATAGGCTTGCGCTGGTTCATCAGATTCGCAATTTTTCAGTACATTTCTTTTGTTTACGTAGACCTAGGGATTAATGTTCTCTCTAACAAAAGATTTGATATGCGACGTAATTAAGCGTTTTGATTGTGGTAGACACTGATAAGAGAAATAGTTTAGCATATTAAACAATAACTTATCCATTTGCATGAATAATGTTTTAGATGGCAACCAAGGTAATTGATATCTTTTGAGATCCTTCAACCAAGGAACGGGCTGCGTGTATTGAGATACTCAAGGTTAATTCTTCACCTATAGTTTTCGCTGTTGATGTTTGTTGTTATGAAGAATTTCTATTATTAAAGAATCTGAAAGAAGCCATGAGTTCCTCCAAGATTACCAGAAAGCCATTTTATCCAAGACCATTCAATTAAATCATTTTACAAGTACCCGATGTCATTTTCGGTATTTTTCGCCTAATATACAAGCCTATTCATACTATGACCTGACTGTGTTTACAGAAAATAGTTTCAAATATCAGCTTGAAATAAAATGTATAATTCGAAAACGTATTCTACAATTATCTCTTCACTTTTACTACTAAGCAAACAATTTTCACGTTAACATTCAAATAAAATCACGTCATTCAAAGGAAAAGTTTACGATTATAGATTTTTGAGCTTCTTTAACTAATGTCAGCCTTTGTGTTACTTCTAATCACTTTTTAATAATATTACAATTTGTAATAAGGTCAAAGTCACCGCACGTCAACCTATACAGTCTAAGCTTTCATACGCAGCTAGTTATTTTTATTCTATTATCATCTGACTGTTATTTTATGCTTTGTTTGTGATCGATTTTTAGACAAAAAATGTAATAACTATGTTACAAGTATTTTTTATGGAATCTTATTCGAATTATTTATAGAGGTCGAAAGCGTCAAAGTGTTCTCTTTCGGTAATGGAGTAAGGTTCTAAATTAAAAAACCATAACACTCTTCAGTGTGGTAGATACTTGTATTATGTTTTTCGATTATTATATTTATCTGGGTAAAGACTGCTTGAAAACTAATTCATATTTCATTTAGTTAAAAGATGCTGGGAATTCTTCACACGGACGTAGTACATCATTTGGATTCCTCCTTATTGCATCATCTTTGGAGCTGACGAAATGATTGCCGAAGGTCGTGTTTTATACAGTGGATCACTATACATTAGTTGGTTGTTGTGATACATTGTTTACGAAGGCAAATAACTTGCCCAAATTGCTAATATCTCATATTCTGTACACAATAGTTTTAGTAGGAAAGAACCACCAAGTGGGTAACTGTAAGTTAAATGTAAAGTACTACTTTGGAATGGTTAGCCGATTGATTAGCGTCTGAGTTTTTGAGGACTAGCTGTTTATGGCTTACAGTAGTAAGTAGTATAGAAATACTTTGGAAAACGTGTAGAGACGGCTAGACCTTGATATATTCTCAGTTGATAGGTTGCTGGAATGAATCATATTACGAGATCTGAACTTTCTGATCGTAGTCTAAAAGAGAGGGGTTTTATGATATTGAATAATCTGATAAATATGGCTTCAAATCAGTGTTAGAGGGCATTTATTCGTTCTCTATTCTCAGTTTAATCATGAATTTTAGAAGCATTTCGTGTTTCCCATTATTCTGTTTTATTTGTCCCCGTCGAATTATATATATCAAAGTTTTTATTTCATTTTAAAGATCAAGTGTTTAGGTCGGCCGAGTAAAATGTTATTGTCAGTTGCGTTGATTGTGCAAAGGATTATGATTAGTCTCTTATTTTACCATGGTCTTAGAATGGCTTCTGATGTCTCAAAATGTTAGCATCAATAAATACCTTATCTTTCAAGTTCTCCATATTCCTAAAGTAGACAATTGTTTTTTTTTCATTCTTTGGAAAAGTTATTATTTTGTTATTACATGTTAAACTATGACGCAACTTAGATCCGATACTTAAAAACTTGACAATTTTTCATTCCTTTATTAAATGGTATAATGTCTCTGTGTTTTATTATATTAGGTACTTGAAACTGTTTGACTGTTTTCAAAGGTCCTGGGTTTGATTCTCGTGAGTGGTGTCGTGGATGCTCACTGCTGAACACCCCTATACTAGGACAAGATGACCATCCAGCGCTTCCAGGTTTATAGGAAGTTTTCAACAGTAGTCCAACTTAGATCGATTTATGATTTCAATGACATTTTTTATATGCTTGCTAAGTGAAGCAATAGTGTTCTATTTTATGATAAAATACCATAATTAAAACTGTCGATGAATGCTGTTTAATTAAATGATGTAATGAAAAAGATTCTCTCTACTGAATTATCTATATTTTACTTAAAAAATTAATAGTCTCCTATCTATACCGTTATAACTTATTCTAAAACAACTAGCGATCACATTTATTTGTATTATATGCATGCTTTATTCACTCAAAAATATCTATTTACTAGACATTACCTCAGTCTTTTAACCTACAATTGATTGTAGGTCACAGTTGATTATCACATTGGTGAACAGAATTAGAGCACAACTAAATAGATGATCTATCTTTGTTCACTTTTTTTCTGGTTGAAATATTTCGTACCAGTAGGTTTTTTAGACATTAGTTTATATTGATCTCAATGAATATCAAAATACAATAACAATACCTGGTTCCTTTGACAATATTCTACTCTAACTAATTTCTCATTAATGCAATCTCTGGAGTTACCATTTATAGTTGTTAATTCTGTTAGAAATGCATACGTTTTAGCTTTAAAGTAACATTATTTGTTAGGTGACATTTAATATATCATTAATATGTGAGGATATTGAATGATATGAAAAATTGGTTAGTAATTTTACCAGAGACCAAATTATTGATTTGTTAGTATTTTACCAAGTGAATATTTTTGTGATTCCACTTTTAAAATTGTGTCACTACAATGATAATAATATTTCATACTGATAACAAATTTGTTTCAATGAAAATACATGATACATGCCTCAAATAATTTATCTCTTACCATATATATATATATATATATATATATATATATATATATATATATATATATATATATATATATATATATATATATATATATATATATATATATATAACAGTTGAAACCACGTGACTTGCGAATTATATGACAAAAAAGCGAATATATATTTTAAATGTAGATAACTACAATATGGTATCATGAGGTTTGTATAGTGATTAAAAACTATTTTCTGTTTTGATATTTTCAAATATTCATAATTAATCTTAGTACATATGAATATCATTTTACTATTACTAGAAGTGTACTTATCTATTTAAATAAAATCCTTAATTATTTCTTTTAAAATGCACATAGATTTATTCATTGAAACATACAACAAAGTGAATTCCTAAGAAAATTGTCAAATTCTCGAATTAGTTTTTGTAGCAACAATAATTATTGTAGTGAATTCTTAAAGAATAACCATATGAGTAAACCAAAAGCTTTGTTTAACACTAAACTTCGTTGGCAAATTCAACAGTCTGATGTTATATTTTTTCATTGAAACACAAGAATTATAATAATTTACACTGACTGATCTTCACTAATTTACTTGATCTTTACACTAAACGATAACAGAGTTTATTAATCATCGTCTTTTACTTTGTATTGTATTTGATATTCTTTGGTTAATTTTATACAGATATTGTTCCTTCTACAATTAAATTAGCAAAATGTTTGCATATTTTTAATCATGAGATTTTTATCGTGTTAAGAAGGATACAATTACAATTCCGTGAGATTCTATGAATGAGAAAAAGCATTATATTTTGTGCTTCATGTGCAATAGTTGAAAGGGTCTCTCTTAACGCATGCATTTCTTATACTTGTGCAACTCTTATCGTTGCATAATTTAATAGTGAATAATACCAACATCAGTTCATAGCTGAATTCATAAACCAGCTAAATACGGGATATGAAATGGAATTTCTTTTAGTAAATATTTTATAAGAAAGTAATATGAAAATCACTTTTTATTTTACTTTATTTATATGGTGAATACCTGTTATAGTGTGATTATAATTTGATTTAGTGAAGATACCATTGAATGGATACAACTACAGACGTTGAGTATACTATCTAAATTTATTTTTATTATGATTAATATTCAATCCATCTAATAATCACTTAAATGATAATGACTAATTGTGGTAAAATAATCCTAAATATCCGTTCATTTTAACTGAGATTTTAGTAATTGGTAATATATATTGTATGTGCTAAATACGTTCACATCATTCAATGTAGGTAATTGTTTAATTTCAACATAGCAAATAGTTTGCTTTTTTTCTAAATAAAATGTATTTATTGGTGAAAGATATGATAATCAAGTATGAATTTATGTGTTCAGTTTTAAGTCACAATTTTTGTGTAAGGGATACTGATAAACAAATTAGAACAAGTAAGATTTGAATTCGGAACAGAAGCAACTGATTTTTAGAAAAAAAATAACCCAATTTTTAATTGGAAATAATCTATTTTACATATAGAAATTAATTTAGTTGTTTATTTGATTAATTAAATTTATTTGTTAAATTCTTTAGGTTAATTAATCGGTTTGTTTATGATTTGTTCAATAAAAGTTACCAATACAAAAAACACAATCTTTCTTAAGCATCTATATAGCGTTTTAATCAATTTTCGACATCTCACTACAGTTAGTTATTATTCGTTGATTAACTGTATTGCAAAATTAACTGTAGTGTAAACCAAATGGCTTTTCTGTTGAAAAGCTCTATTAATTAATCTATCACCAAAAATGAATTAATTTTTTTCATGTTAAATTGTTTACTGGAATCTGAACACAGATTTTACACATTTTTACTTCCACACGCCCAATGATAAGAGGTGATGTAAAATGTTAGATGCAGCTTGAATAGCTCAGTGGTATCATACTTAAAAGTAACACTGGCTCAAATGCTACTAGGAGATCATTTTACTGAAGATTCAGTGTACGTTTTTTACTGATGGGCTCCGATTAATAGGAAACAGGTGTAGTATTTTCTGCCTAATTGCTTACAAACATTTACTAATGGTATTCTATTTAAACTGGCTACATAATTAATCTCAAAAATGAATTATTCATGTGAATATTTTATGGCTTTGCTGATTATCTTAATGGTTATTCGATCGAAAAATTTTATTGCTGTTAAATATCTCAACGTGTTACAATGAATCTGGTTATAAAAAGGATGATAGATATTTTCCATTTAGGAAAAATTCTATTGGAAGAGTTGTGATGTTGTAGTCATTCAAAAAACGTATTATATGGCTACGGAACACTTGGAACAATCAGTGAATAGTAAACATAGAATTATTATGAAAACAATCAGGTGAACTGAAATCTACCACCCTCTTCATCAAGTTTATATGTGTGTATTTCCCACAGATACTCAGTTTGACAGTCATTCATTTGAACATTTTGTAATAAGTAAATTAAATAATGAGGATGTTTTAGAAAGTTTTTGGTTCATTTAAAAGTGTTCTGAATAAGTGATACATCAGGTTGTTGTATTATAACTAGGTATACTTTTTTCAAATAGAAAGAGTAAATATTGATACAGTTACTGGTTTCTCTAGATTGTTTCCCATACTTCCTCAGTCCATACTGTAAATATTTATTAAAATACAGAAAAAAGCTGATCACTTTGTTCTCTTTAGTTCCTCTTTTTACGTTTTCATTAAAATCTCAATATAAGTATTAGTGATATCATAAATATATATCCTATTATTATGACCTATTATTCAAAATCATTATTATTTAATATTTTTTTCATTATAGATTTCATTCTTCTTTGCTATGATTTGGGGGTGTGCGCTGATTTATTTCTTATTTAGTGAAGTACTACATTCACCTGGATATGCATCACCATTGGTACTTGTTTCATTCATGACACTTTACTTAGTCAATCCGTTTAGTTTTGCTCATTCCAAAGCACGTCGTTGGTTATTACGGGTATTAGTAAGTTTTTCATGTAATATAAAGTGAAATGAATGGGAAAGATTGTTTTATTAATGTATTAATCATTTCAACATGAATGTACAAAGAATAATTGATATTTATCCTTTTGAATAATTTTGGCTAACAGCTATGAGTAGTTTCCTCCAAACAACCATTCAACAATCAATTTCAAGTAAATATGCTAAATTTTATAATACGATCGAATAGTTTGACCATTGTTCAGTTACATTATTAGAGATGAGTGTTTCATTTTCAACGATTCAGACTCCATATGTCATAGTTTTTAAAATAACTTCAAAAATCTATCATATAGTTATTCACTAGTAAGTTTGTTATAATTATTATTCAGTTAGTTATTCGGTATATGGAAGTTAATTCATGGAAACTACTGATATATATATATATATATATATATATATATATATATATATATATATATATATATATATATATATATATCACAGAATTAATCGTACATTTATACAGTAAAAACGTTGAAAATAGTCAAAAATCTTATTTTGACAATTAATATTGAGTTTATTATATTTATACGTTGTCAAGTGGATCTAAATAATAATAATAATAATAGTAATATTAGCTCATAATAAAGCCATATGATTAACATTATTCTCAACTGTCATGAATAGTAAACGATTGATTTACCGAAATAAAAATATATTTCATTAAGGATTATTATTAATAAAGTTAGTATTTGAGTGTTGTTGTGTAAAATGACGATATATATATATATATATATATATATATATATATAATAAATCAAAGGGCTTCTAATATTAATTGAGATTTTCAAGGGAACTATTCTAATTAATTTTTTAATTTATTTATTATGAAAAATGAGACTATTGACAGATGTGACAATTTTCAATATCTATCAATTTTGATTTGTTTCGGTAGAATGAAACTTTTGATCTTTGTTTATAAAACCAGAAAGAAGAAAATGACAAAAATCAGTTAAACAGACGGTAGAACACATAATATAGAGTGATCATGTAATATAAACAAATATTAAGCAGTTGAAAATCATCATGAATATCAATTTCAGTTTAACCTTTATCCTACTGAAATTTCATTGTTAATTTTTATAATTGATGTCTTGGATCTTTTTTTAAAAGTGTTCAATGTATTGTTAATACTTTCTGAGTTTGACAATGTAGTGATGATAATCACTTATAATAATGTTCGGTGGTTGAAGTTACTCGATAGGAAATATTAAATTGAGGTTTAATGATGATCGACACTCATCAGCAATGCGTACCTATAGTCTTTTAACAACTGATACTCTTTGTAGGATACAAATCCATGTCACACAATTCCACAGTTTGAGACGTTAACGATGAGCTATTTGAGCAGCAATTGACCTGTAGGACTTTTAATTAGTTGCTGAGTAGTCCAGTCCATTTTTAATGCCGATCAATGATAGCCGATCTTTTTATTACCTTATTATTTTTAATTTTGATACATCAACATTTTATCATTCAAATATGATCTCTAAAATATTATCGTATCAAGTAATTGATGAGAAAATTAATATTAAGGATTTATGTAAACTTTTCATCATTTTTCTTACTTTCGGCAACTCAGTTTAATAGCCAAATAAAATGGGTACTTGTAGTTATTTAAGTTTTACAAGTCACTGATAATGATACATGCAATAGGGAAGCGTATTCCAAACTATGAGTATGTGGCGCCCAGATAACATGGATTTAATTATTTGCAATATAAAATTTCATGTCTAGACTTTTTCTGTGTTCGTTTGTAATACACATTCTATTATATATATATATAGTTTGACTTTTAGTAAACTAATAACCTAACGTTTCCTGCTTACAATCACATGGAAATCGTATACTTAGGTAAACCAATACATTTTATTTAGTAGTACTGACTAAAGAGATGCCATTTTACTTACTGCTTCAAAAATTTGTGAATACTATGAACAAATTTAAACTGAAAAATACATTTTAATAAATAGAATATAAAAAATGTCTTGTATGTCCAATGTGTGGACATTTTTCTTAGTAATAATTTTTTATATAATGTGTTTACGTGGATACCATTAGTGTAATTTTGTAAAGACTTAAACAAATCAAGGCAATTATCTTGATCAGTATAACTTATTCAATCATGTTTTTCTTCAAATGTACAGTCAGTTATCTCTTAATATGAAATGTTTGGGGATAGGGAATAATAAAACTACTATAATAGCAATTTAAGTTCGTCTTTAGTAATGAAGTATGGTTATTATATGACAGATTGTAATATCTTTCACAATACTTCTATGTAATCAACACGATACTGTGATGCATATATAACCCAATCCATATAGAAAAAAAGACTAATTAGTACAAACAACATTTACCAAGTTTGGTATAAATATTTTTGTTTAACAGTGTAATCATTATCTCAATCAAGTCAGTTCACGTTGATTTATAGAAATTCGGCATATGAACTTGATCTAATAGACAAACAGATTTATGTAACTAACATCAAAAGTGTATCGATTTATGTCATTACTTTGTATAGCAGCATATATGCAATATTTTTAAAAACTTACCAAAAAAGGTATATTGGTCAAGAAAAGAGTTACTGATATAAATGAAAATTATATTCTCTTTTGCTATTAGCTCGATGTCGGCGTCATGTGATCTGGTTTGCGTTTTATTATTTTTTTGTTGACTGATTTCTGCAACCTCTTCATAGGCTTGTTAGTCGTGTTTATCGTTATTTGTTTATTTTGTGCTGTTTTTTGATTGCTATTTATTATTATTTTATATCTTTGAAATATCACATAGCTTATTGTGTTATTGTATTTAGATTCATTAGTCTTACCTTTTACATATTCAGAAATAGTCGATTATCACATCATCTCAGTGTTATAAAATAATTTACTCTGTAGTATGAATCTGCTTACTTCGAAAAACTATGTTTAGTAGTTTTTCCATATGATTTAATAGTTGTATTTTTATTTGTATGGGTTTTTATTTGCTCATTTGTATGAGCAGCTGCAACTAATCAATCTTTATTGTCATACGTGATTCTTAAGAGGACTAATAGGATGAAACATGTGTCCTAAATTCTGCTAATAGCCACATTCAATCTGTTCTATGGTTACATATTAGTAGTTTTTTATTTAAATTTATTCATATGTGTGCAGTTATTTTATTTTGTTCTTTCTTCTTTTCAGGGACGAATTATCAGAGCACCATTTGCAAAAGTTTCTTTCGCAGATTTTTGGCTAGCGGATCAACTAACTAGTTTAAGTTTCATATTTCCAGATATAGCTTATTTTATTTGTTTTTATTCATCACAAATTGATTGGGCTAATGGAATGAGTTACAAACCACAAAATTCTTCTTCTTTGACATTACCTTCACTAGTTATGGGACATAATAGTCAATATTCTAATTCAACACGTTTAACAATTCCTTCTTGTGCTTCTCATTCAAATGAAATTATAGGTAAGCGCCATTTGACTAATTTCATGTAAATATATATAATATTGATCGGATAGATATAATTTATTTATGTAAGAATTTTATAATTTGTGTAATAGTAATTCATAAAAAAATTGATCAAGGAGAATTTTCATTCAGTAGAATAAAATATAAGTTGTTTTTCATAGGAGATAATAACCAAGGTTTAATCCCTTAACAACAATTCAATGTCATTTGTTATAGTAAGGAAATATAAACGTATCCGTGGCAATAACATCGATTGTTGACAGTGATGTGAAACCACCCAGAATGTTGTTTAAGATAGTCTAATTATTGACGAAAAACTCAAGAAACTGAGAAGGGAAAGCTCAAATATCTCTAGTAATATAAAGTGTTTAGCTGCAAAGAAGCATTAACAATCATTCAAATTATTTAAAATTTGATGCAATATGTAATTTTGTAGATCTATGACTAATCAATGAAATTAAGGTTTGAATATTGGATCTAATTTTTGTTGACAATAGATTGTTAATAGCTTGCTCTTTATTTGACTTCGAATACTTGATTGTTATTCCCCACTCAAAAGCTTATTTAAATAGCAACATTTTTCTATATTCGTTGTAAGCGTATTTCGTTTTTCTTACAATTTATTGAGACTTAAGTGATTTCCCAAGTTTGATCATGTACTATCAGGAAAACGAATGACTTAATTGTTGAATGTAAATCACTGTACAGAGAAAGAATATAAAACTTTAAACCTCGTAGTTATTAAACTCTTAAAGCTTCAAAATGTAATTTCTAAAGCTTTTTGACTATTGATTTGTTTAATGCATCTGTAAAATGACTATTTCATTTTTGTTAAATTGTCTAGCTCCTATGCTTTTTTTCTCCTGGTTGAACTCCATCATTATACTTTGGTATTTTGCTCTATATTTTCAGCATATTGGTCTACATAGTAGAATATGTTCATTTTTGGAATTGTAGTCTTTTTTCCATAGTCAGATATAATAATCATGTACCAATTTTTGATAGACCAAATATATAGAGATTCCATAAAATGGATTGATGTGATGTTCATTTTCATTTTACGTTAAAGTAGTTATCTATATTCATAAATACTTGGGATTTTGTTCTTCTGATATTATCTGTTAATCTTTCATTGGTAAGATTATCTCCAAATAATTTTTAAATTTGGAATGAGTACTTAAGGAAGCTTTGTTAAAAATAGAATAAAATTGTTAAAAGTATCTGCTTAAGACTTGGTGTAATTCGGATAGTATTAATATTGTTCTCAATAATAAAGTACTTTATTCAAATTGGATTGCAGAATTTATTGTAAATGGGTAATTCAAAATATAGTTTAAAGGATAGTTTTCTATAGTGTTAAGGTAAATATTGTACTCCTACAATTTTTTTCACTCAATATAAATTTACGTATATGGTCTACTTGAAGGAAAACTGTCAGTTACAATTGGTCTAAACCCTTCCGGTTTGTAATATGTTATGTCTAAGAAAAAAAACAGAAGTCTTTGTAATATTATTTTAGAGAAGTGGTTAAAGCAAACAATTGATGATTATTCAGTAAAGCATCAACAGAATACCCATTTTGCTTCTGAAGAAAATTTTACTTGAATAGTATTTTAAGTTTTTTGTGTTTGTATTCGTATTAATTTGTATAATTTTGTGATTTATTGAAAAATAAACGAGGTTTACTTCTAAAAACCCCAGGTATTTTTCCCATAGTTTTATATTAGTTTTTTCTAAGTGGTATGAATGTAAATCATGATTTCGATAATTAAACACCTAAGAGTTATTTATGCGATAATTTGAAATCTAAGTTGAAGTTCAGGAACGTTTCAGTACATGGTAATATAAAACTTGATGTCAGTGTTTTGTAATAGATACCGTCCGTCATATTTTTAAGACTTAAACACTGATGGATTAACACAGGGATTATCAAAACAAACACCATCTTAGGGTAATATGATATTTTCTAATCTTGAAACAGTTAGATGAAAAAGTTGTGTCGTAAGTTCATTTTAATTTCACTGTAGAAAACATTTTACCTAATTGAACTTCTTATTTTCTCCATTAATCTCTGTGTATTTTCTTCATATATTTATAAATGATGATTGAAGTATGATTTAACTTCTTTTCATTGACTTTTGAAAAGAATAGTGAGCATTGTTTCGCTCTGTATTCTTATGAAATGTTTACCAGAACTATACATTCTCTCAATGATTCTTTTTATCATTATTTTGTTGTTCTAGTTTCTTTTTTAAGGTCCAACACTTGTCTTCTTATTACCTTGAAAGGTTTTTTTATTAGCTCATTCTATGGATGCTAAAACGAATCGGCAGTAATTAATGTGTTACCTAATTCTGTTTTGGAGTGTACAAATGGATTTTAATCACTTTATGTCTTTTATTAAGGCACAGTAATTTATGTAGAAGTTTCATATACAATATGGTTGTATTGATCATCAAGGGTTGGTGAGAAACTTCAAGATAAAAAGTAATGAATAATAGTCTGCTTTTAGCGTGAAATTCTTTAACATTCCTCATTTATAACTTTATACAATACAATGTAAATTTTATCAAGATATTTCTGGTATTAGCTTATTTAAAAAAAAATTAACTTACGTTTATTTAAGAAATTCAACAACAGCGTAACAGATGGGTAGAATACTTCGAGGAACTCCTGAATAGGCCGGCTCCAACGAATCCAGTGGACATCGAAGCAGCACACATAGATCTTCCTATAGATGTCAATCCACCAACTACGGAAGAAATTAGAATGGCCGTCAGACAAATCAAGAACGGGAAAGCAGCAGGACCCGACAACATACCAGCTGAAGCACTGAAATCAGACATCGAAACAACCACAAGCATGCTTTATCTTCTATTCAAAAAGATTTGGGAGGAGGAACAAGTGCCAATGGACTGGAAAGAAGGACACCTCGTCAAGATTCCAAAGAAAGGAGATCTGAGCAAATGTGAAAACTACAGAGGCATAACACTACTGTCAATACCAGGGAAGGTCTTCAACAGAGTGTTGCTGAACCGGATGAAGGATGCAGTAGACGCCCAACTTCGAGATCAACAAGCTGGATTCCGTAAGGATCGGTCGTGCACAGACCAAATTGCAACACTACGGATCATCGTCGAACAATCAGTTGAGTGGAACTCATCATTATACATCAACTTCATTGATTATGAAAAGGCATTCGACAGTGTAGATAGGAGGACGTTATGGAAACTTCTTCGACACTACGGAGTTCCTGAGAAGATTGTCAATATTATCCAGAACTCATACGACGGACTACAGTGCAAAGTAGTGCATGGAGGACAGCTGACAGATGCATTCCAAGTAAGGGCCGGAGTCAGACAAGGCTGTTTACTCTCTCCATTCCTCTTTCTTCTGGTGGTCGACTGGATTATGAAGACCTCAACATCTGAAGGAAAACACGGAATACAATGGACAGCTCAGAATCAATTAGACGATCTGGACTTCGCAGATGACCTAGCCCTCCTATCACGTACACACGAACAGATGCAGATGAAGACAGCCAGTGTAGCAGCAGTCTCTGCATCAGTAGGCCTCAGCATACACAAAGGGAAACTAAGGTCCTCAAATTCAAAGCGGAGAACAGCAATCCAATCACACTTGATGGCGAAACTCTGGAAGATGTAGAGTCCTTCACATATCTGGGAAGCATCATCGATGAACAAGGAGGATCCGATGCAGACGTAAAGGCGAGGATCGGCAAAGCAAGGGTCGCATTCCTACAATTGAAGAACATATGGAACTCAAAACAACTTTCAACCAATATCAAAGTGACAATCTTCAATACGAACGTCAAGGCAGTTCTACTGTATGGAGCTGAAACTTGGAGAACTACAACAACCACAATCAAGAAAGTACAAGTATTTATAAATAGCTGTCTTCGCAAGATACTCAACATCCATTGGCCGGATACCATCAGCAACTGCCTTCTGTGGGAGAGAACAAATCAACTTCCAGCTGAAGAAGAAATTAGAAGAAGACGATGGAAATGGATAGGACATACATTACGCAAATCGTCAAACTGCATCACGAGGCAAGCCCTAACTTGGAATCCTGAAGGGAAGCGAAAAAGAGGAAGGCCAAAGAACACATTGCGTCGGATAATGGAAGCAGATATGAAAAGGATGAATTACAACTGGAAGGAGCTGGAAAGGGCTGCTCAGAACAGGGTTGGATGGAGAATGCTGGTGAGCGGCCTATGCTCCTTCACGAGGAGTAACAGGCGTAAGTAAGTAAGTACGTTTATTTAAAGCAATCAATGGAAATGATATTTAACGCGTATTCTAGCGATGACTTTGTGGTGAATAGTTTAATTATCTAGTAGATTTGAATGTTGTGCTAAAACTAAACATAGAAAAAAGGTGTTAGATCATACTTTTTGGTGTAATAATAAAGTTTGGACAGCAAACTTTTCACTGAAGTTAGTTCACTAACTTTATTTTTTTAAAAGTAAGTAATAAATGTCATGTGACCATGAGATTGAATCTACTATCAGCCGAATTCAATTCACAACAGCATGGTATTAATAACAATCCAAGACTATTTGATGTTGACGGATGGTTTGTTTTGTGGATAATAAATGGCAAACTTAGGATCGGAACATTTCAATTATTCCTCCACCTATGAAACGATTTACAAACTTCAGATTATATCTGTTGGATGATAAAACTGTAGATATAAGTGGAAATGAATTTGTCAAAGCCGATATACATATTTAACACATAAGTCTGATAGATTAGTCAAAGTTGACTGATGAATGAAGTGAATGATTTTTGATTACCCACCCTGGAATGTTTTCTCAACTTATTTGTTTTTGGTTAATATACAGCTGATTATAGCATTATGCTTGTCATAACATCTTGAAGATTTATTTATGTAAGTTTATTATCAATTGTTCAACAACGAAATATCGTATGTACATAATCGTCCCGTTAAAATCAAGTGACAACTAGTAACTAATTTCAAAATCGAAACCTTGTGAAATAAACTATGTGTGTAAAACTAAATTTTTACCTGTTGCAACAGACGGTTATACAAAAAGATGGAGAATTAATTACATGTGCGGAAATGTGGACCGATTAACTTTTGACTAAAATTACACATATATTAGGCTCTTTGCAATAACCTAAACACTGAAATCCAAATAACAGTTGAATCATTCTTGGTTTTCTAGCTAATACCAATTTATAATGAAAATTATTGTTTCATTGAACTTTTCTTTATAAAATTAAAAATCCCTGATTTACCACTCTAATATTATTATTTAGGTGAGTTGATCTTAGAGACTTTTTGTGATTTCTTTAATAATAGTACATTTTATAAAAATCCAGTATTTTAGAGTACTACTGCTAGCCTATAATTTACTAAAAATCTGACTTAATGAGATCTGTTTAATATAACCATCGTGTAGAAATGTGAATGCATATTTTCCTTCTGAAGAAATCAATGTACGTACTAATTATATCATGTGAATGAGGACGCTATATATATATATATATATATATGCGAAGTAATTTGACTTGAAATGCTATCTAGGGTTACCGGATTTTTTATTTTATTTAAGATTTCTATTTTTTTTAAAAATTTACATCTGTGGTCTAGAATCATTTCGAAAAGTCACTAAATTATATCCCCATAATAATCAAAAATAATTTAATTGTGTAAATATATAGATACAATTTTTCATTTTATTAATATTAAGGAGGACTTCTGACCATTCCGAAATATGTGCCTTCTGAGTGCATGTCTAACTTCAAATAATCCAAGAAACACCATTGGATGCCGGCTCAGTGGTCTAGTGGTTAAGTGCTCGCGCGCGAAACCAGTAGGTTCTGGGTTCGAATCTCGCAGGGGGCGAGGTCGTGGATGAGCACTGCTGAGGAGTCCCACAGTAGGACGAAACGGCCGTCCAGTGCTTCCAGGTTTTCCAGGGTGGTCTAGCTTCAACTGACTCATGATCTTAACCATTGAAAATATTTGTATTATATGTTTGTACAAAACCGTTTATATTTACGAAGCCCTTGTGTTACTGAACTAAATGCATAGCTCTTTTAAGGAATAAATAGCTCAACATTTTTGCGTTAATGATAAAGCTATTAACTTAAAACATTTCAACCATAAAACTAATTCTTTTACTACCATGTTCGTGTATTACCGAAAAATTTAATTTTTTCATTTCTTAAACGGAACAATATACCACAACGTGATTAACGTTAAATTGTTCTGAAGTAGTCACATAAACAGTAAGAACTTGATTTCTGAGACAAATAACTGTGGATACCTTTACACAGAAATCCCTGAACATGAAAGTTCTTTAAATAAATGAATGTGATTATTCAGAAGTCTTTGAATACATGAAACTTTCTATCTTAATTAGGAATTTTTAAATTTTTATACTTATCCGATGTTCAAATAAATTACATAATTGAACTGATGTATTATCGCTGTAACATTGTCGGTACATTATTATCTGCATATCATATCTCGGTAAAAATATTGAAATGAAAATATTTTTAACATATTAATACTCTGAAAACAAATACACCTATTGTCATTGTTCTTAGTTAGTGTTTGTGAGTATTTTCACGAAATCTACTAATCATAATAAACTTATTTGATTGTTAGGTAAAGATCAGAATACTTTATTTCAATCAAACCCTTTGAAACAAATAATTTTTTAAATAATTAACTATTGTTATTATGCATTAAAAGTTTCGTCACTTGAACCAATTCAAACTATAGCAGTTATTGTTCATCAGTTGTTCTGTAATTTTTTTTTTTACTTTTTAAATAAGAATGAAAATAACTAACTTGAGTCTTTTTTTAAATTGTTCAGGATACATTTTTATTTGATTTATGTGATAGGATTCACCATGATATTTTTTATATAGCTGTGGTAATAGAATGTAACAACTTGAACTTATGTACAGAAGTGGCAAGTTTTACGTTACATATTATATGTAGATAGTTTATATAAGATTTAATGTTAATTAGAATTTCTTGAGAAATTCTATTTCTTTCACAATTACATCTACAACCAGTTAATAAATATCATACAATATAAAAACATATGTATAAGGATTACTACATTCCCATGCCTATAATCATAATCAAAAAGATATGTAGAGCAAAATGTTTTTCTATCAATGATTGTTATATGCGCAAAATTAATTAAAAAAGTTAAAAAAAAAAGAGTTTGTTACCTTTTTATGAAAATTTTACAAGTTTTAGTTAAAAGTACATTATAGTAAAGAGGTAAAATGAACTCTCATGGTACTGACATATTCAATATGGATAGAAAATGAAACATATTAAAATTAATTACATTTATTATCAAATTTCAAATTGAACAAGATAGATATTGAATTTTTATTTCATTTTATTACTGTTTAGTTATTAATTGTTTATTATTTAAATTTATCTATATCTCTGTTAATCAATTAACGGTATTGAAATTACTAAGACTCATCAACTCTGGTGTGTTATTATTTAACGAAAAATCAATGAACGTTAGATAGCACTATGTAGTTGTTCCGACTGGGTTTGAAACACTTCAACAATGACTAATAATAATCTTCAGATATCGTGATGAACATGTTACTCTTAGATCACTGTGTTAATAAATATTTTCAGCTTCATTTAATTCGTGATACAACGTAGAAATCATCTGACAGAACCAGTGATAACTTTCCGACTATCAATAAAGTTGAACGTCAACAGTCGCAAGCTCATTGATTTTTGAAATTTTTCTAGCTAGTATTATATCATGGCGGAAACGACATTCAAATTCAACTCGCGTTAGCACTTTTACTCCATATGTTGGCTTTTATAACCCCAATTTTTGATGACCTAGTGGTTAAACTAATTATCGAGAGTTCCTAAAGACGATTCTTATTTGTTTCAAATTGGTTATGCCACCTTAAAATCGACTTAAACCAAACCTGATACGTTTTTATTGCAACTTCATGAGGGTTTTTCTGGTAACTGGAAAAATCAATGTCATGGTTACACGTTATATAAATACCCTATTTATCTTATTTGATAATTACTGTCGAACGCGTTGACAACTTCACTTATCTTGGAAGTCTGATTAGCCCTAATGGGTTGGTTTCGGACGAAATCTCAGCACGGATTCGAAAAGCTCGATTGGCTTTTGCCAACTTGCGTCACCTATGGCAAAGGCGAGATATCCGTCTATCAATAAAAGGACGAGTATACTGCGCGGCAGTCCGTTCTGTTTTAATTTACGGCAGCGAAACATGGCCATTAAGAGTAGAAGACACTCGTAAGCTATTAGTATTTGACCACAGATGCCTTAGAAATATTGCTGGCGTCTGCTGGGATCGACGGGTAAGTAATAGTGAGGTTAGACGCAGGGTATTAGGGAATGATGGTAAATCAGTTGATGAGGTTATGAATCTTCATCGACTGAAATGGTTGGGCTACGTGTTATGTATACATTAACACCGATTACCACAACGCGCAATGCTACCTAGTGTTGGTGATGGTTGGAAGGAAGTTAGAGGCGGTCAAACCAAAACGTGGCATCGGCGCTTGAAGTCACTAACTTCTAGTCTTAGCCATGTTGGTAGATGCAGACTACTTGGTTGGGGTCCGCGCGATTATCGTAACCAATGGTTGCAGACTGTGTGACATGACTCAGAATCGATCACAATGGCGTCGGTGTATACACTCCCTGTCTTCCCTTAAACTATGAGATTAAAATCGCTTCATATCTTTCTTTCTACGAACCAATTCTTTCTTCTTGTACTATATCTCTATATGCAATCTTTCTCTTACATATTACTACCTTTGACCTAACCACTGCTATGAATCCGGTGTTCATCTTGTACTGACGCAGTATGGCAACCTGGACCGATGCACATATGTGCCTGGTCCTACGTTGTAGCTGACTGACTGTTCACTTCATCATATAGGTAATATAATAATTTGGCCTTTTTGTGTTTTAAAAATGGTTATTGTTTGGCTCCATTTTCTAAACTTAGTTTATTTTACTACAGAGAGATTTACTTTTTCCAAGGCCTCACTCAATATTTCACATTTGCCATTCTGTTATATTGCGTAATAATATTATCTTAAATATTCCAGAACTATTACTCCTAAACAACTATAAATTCCTGTTAAAAAGTTGGATTCTTAATTCCGTTTACATTCCAAATAACCCATATCTATTATTGACCATTCATTATTTAGGTTGAACACCTTGTTATTAATTGAAAACAACTAGAAATATTAGCTTTCATGTAGCTGAAGACAAAGTACTGAAATACAATAAATTCGTTGTATCGTGCAAATAATTCTGTTCTCCGCTTTATTTTTTCGCTTATAAGTATTTCTATTTTCGTGTTCTTAGCTAATAGCTGTCAATGTGAAGGTATTCTTTTCGGTTTGGATCCAATTTTAAAGGTGTTACCGTCTTGGTTTCGATTTGCCCAGTGTTTGAGGCGTTATCGAGACATGGATGTTAAAAAAGCCAATCCTCATTTATTAAACGCAGGGAAATATTCTACAGCATTTCTAGTATCTACTTGTGGTGTCTGGCTGGCATTCGATCGAGGTTAGTCATTAATTGTTGTTTGTTATTCATGTTGTTGTTGTCTAGATATGTTTTAAGTTACATCTTAATGTAAAAAAAAATAAATGGATCGGAACTTAAGTTCTTTCCATGTTAGGTCGTTCGGTTTTGTGTATTTCTTCTCAATATGTATGTATTCAAAAGTTAGTGAGACAGTTAAGCGAATTTCATAGTTCTTAAATGATGATTTTGTTTCTGAAATGAAATCATGTGAAGAACTACTGAAAGTAAAGATTTTTTGGTAATTACTTTGCCTTAATCAAGAGTGATTAATCCCCTTTATAAGTTTCATAACAAAATCCTAAGTCTTGGCTAATAGTTCACTAATATATGAGTTTGTAAGATAATTTATAGTAGATCACTCTATTCATGATACTTTTACTACAAAGGTATTCTCCATGAGTGATAACTACTGCTGTTACCTAGTCTCAATAACTCTAAAAAAGCTAAGTACTCATTATATATATATATTTTTATATATATTTATATTTTAATCAATTATTATGATTTTGTAAATAACTTTAAATAAGCTATATTAGAATAAATTCTATTCATGTTTCTTTTATTAACGAATTTTAACTTTTACAGTTACATCTTATGTTATTTTATCGCAGTGAAAATTTGACAAGAAAATTGTTTATCTAGGATTCTAATGGTTGAGATCATGAGTCTAGCTTCAATTGACTCATGATCTCAACCATTGAGATTACTATAATATCCACAAAACCCCTCTGATTTCTAAGATTCCTCATTTTTCCCATAAATGTACTCACGGGTAATAATCTAAACTTTAAAAACGTAAATTGTCGTTGGTATGTAAAGCAAAATATTTTGGAAAACGATTAATCGTAACACTGTTTAAAATGTTTGAATAAATAGCTTTCACGACACATATTATTAATGTGATGTTTCTCGATATTTTGTTGTCAAGAAACAGATAGTCCAGTGTTTATAATGAAGAGCTTAGTTTTCAGATAAATTTTATATAAAAATGCGGCTAGAATAATTATCAAGCTGATAAATTGAAGATTGTCACTTAATTCGAATTTGTATATAGTATTTGAGGAAGATTGATCTTATTCATGGTACCACTGAAAACCAGGGGAAAATGAATAATTATTTCGTCCTAGTACTGAACTCTTCATCAGTACATACCCATTCCCCCACCAAGGACTCGCTTTCAGAGCTTTCAGGTCTTACAATAAATGCATGACTATTAAAATTATTGAGCCGGAAGTTTACGGGTCATAGGTGCACACTATTAAGAAGTTCTATTACAGAACGGAATAACTGTCTGCTTGTAAATTTATATAGCTTAATAAATTATCGCCAATCCCCGATAGGCTTTCACTTTGACAAGACGTAATCAAAAAGTAGAATTTGAAGTAGTTTTAATGAACATTTGTTGCATTATTATAGCGGATTAAAACATAATGTAAAGCATTTATACTTCAAATCACGAAGTGATCTTAATTAGACAACCGTTGAAGACCCGGAAGCACCGGGAAGTCGTGTTGGCTTAAGATAGTACTTCTCGGCAGTACTCATCCACGACCACGCATCCGGGAATTGAATCAAAGGCCCTCTGTTTCACTTGTGGTTATTTAACCTCTAGACTATTGAGCCAGTATCCAACGGTGTTAATATCTGGCTCCAACCGACTCACGATACTGCCCCTCCGCCATCCATCTCCTATTTTGGATAACTGCCTCACACCTAACCGCGAACCTCTGGGCTTAATTCCCGGATGCGGGGTTATAGTAACCAGACGGAAAAAGTGTTATTTAGTAAATTTTAGCCTCTCATTTTTGGTCTAGGTGTACTGGAACAAATTATATTACAAAACAATGATCATTGTTAAACTTTTCAGTTCTCTCAATCATTTCGGTCCTTGGTTTATCTCAGGAAGTATTACAACATTTTCTTACGAGGTGTTCAGATAACTCTGCTTTTTCTGGTGCCCAAACCATTGAGGACATAGCTATCTGTGTACACAAAATCAAATAAAGTATATTTTCAAACAGAGGTTTATCTTCACTTTACTTTTTGTAAACTTTCATCAATAATAAACTTGAAAGTCAATATCTGCGGGAAACACCGCTGATCACAAGAATTTCCAGGGCTAACTCATTATATTTGTGTACTTATTAAATTTCAAGTTTATTGACGTTTTCTTAGTTGTGTAACAATTGTAAAAAACGTAAAAAATGCATGAAAACCACCTGAACGTTTATTCAGATTCTTATATGTATCACTACATTCGCTGAACAGACTTTTCTCCCAGAAGTAAATCATTTACCTTCAAGTTATAATCCTTGATAATTGTGAAACACATTCTTCTTGTAACCTATCACCAAAGTCTTTCTCACTTATATCATGTTAGGGTTATATTTAAGGGTCAATGAATCTTCCTAAATTTCAATTTATGATTGTAAGCCGTTGTATATTATTTGTCCCATAGATTAAATAAACAAATAGATATCCTAGTCTAATAACTGATTCGTCGGTTATTATTCAGTATATGCCCTTGATATTTTATTATCAAAAACTAAACTGCCGGATATCTCACTTGCATGTTCTTATGATAATTTGGGCATGAATAAAAACTTGCCTGGGTTAGTGGATGAATAGAGTTCAACTGTATATCATAGATGAAGCATCATTTTTCCTAGTCAATTAGTTGCTATTCCATTTAATTGGACTAATACAAATGATCATCATATAATCAAGCTTTCCTTTGTTTTACTAGAGTTTGATTCATTTAATAATCATATTCATTATTATATTCTACCTACACTGGGAAGCGTTGATAAAATACACACCTCAAATATTTACCGTCTATATTTGGTAATCTATTGTTATTTCTTGTTCATTAACTCTTCATAGTTAATAATCACTTAATATTACGTATATTTAATTAGTTTCAACAATTATTTCTTTCCTATAAAATATATTTACTTTAACAATTATTTATTAGACATTAATATTTTATTCCTATATATCATATTTTCAAGCAATTCATGACACTATACCACTCTATATTCACAGTTTTTTAATATTCTTCAAGTTGATAATTATCTTTCATTTGTACTTTATTTTCACCTTAGTCTGTTACTCAATCGTTTTTTAAAAAAAAATTGGAAACATTCTCAATCATCGTTTATATAATTCAATAATATTTTATCCTAAGCTTATTTATTCTAATTAACTGTTAATATGATTGCATAGTTTTAGTAAATAATATCGTCAAAAAGAAAAGTCTTTTTGATAAATTATCTTTATTTCTCCTAGAATATAGTTCGTCCAAGTATTTACGATTTCTTATCTTCAGTTACAACAAGTTATTTTTTACTCAATTACCGATTTATAATAATTACTGATATAAACTTTTTTTCAATTTACATATTGTTATATTAACAGGTACTTTGCCATTGGTAGCTTATATTATATCTAGTATTATACGATCTGGTTACACATATGCATGGGATATTCTTATGGATTGGGGTTTATTAGATTGTCGGTCAGAAGATAAACTATTACGTGATGAACTAGTCTACAGATATAGAGGTTATTATTTCTTTGCAATAATTGAAGATTTTGTGCTCCGTTTAACATGGATCGCTCGTCTAAGTTTTGAACGTATTGGATTTGCACGGATGGAAATTATCACAACAATATTTTTGACAACTGAAGTTATTCGGTAGGCATGGAATTCTTTAACCTCACTTGTAATAATATACTTTTATTCTGATGTAACTTGATATGTAGTACTCCTTTTTTGACTGGGATGGCACTGAACATGATATATCGGTTGATTAGCTCAAGTTGTCCCCATCTGATATAGCAAAGCTTCAGGAACGATTATTATGAAGGACAATAAACTACTTAAACTCAACTTTAAAGTATAGGAAAATACATGCTACATGAAATATAAAAATTAAGATAGTGACTGAATGTATTTGTAGCAAAGTAATCAAGTTTAAATCATTTTAATAATGACTTAATTTTTAATAGTTTTAATATGAATCATGTGAAACAAGTATAAAGTTCTTGATCTGGCTAATATCAAAATTTAATGACTTCATAGATTAACGCTATATCCCTGTTCAATTAACATAAGCTTTTATCCTGTTCTGAGTTAGATCAGTTAGATAAATGAAACGTTGTGTATGTAAGCCATTTCTCAAAATATTCTTATCATGCAAACTTATATAGAAACAGTGGAGGGAATTTATAGCTTAGATGGGTCATGAACCAACCACTGTTAGACCACAACTGAAAACCTGGAAGCACTGGAAGGATCTTTCGTCTTAGTATAGGATTCGTCGTCAGTGCGTATACACGATCCTGCTCACTATTTAGTAGCTTCGAGAGGTAATTCTCGGGGTTCTATTGAGAAGCCGTGACCAGCGGAGTTCAACCAAGTCGGGCATGAGGCATTTATCCAGCGAAGACAATGAAAGATGGTCGCGCAGTATCGCAGATTGGCTAAAGTCAGATATTAACACCGTTGAATATCGGCTGGGTTGTCTGGAGGTTCAGCGTTTGCGCGCGAGACCAAAGGTGTTGGTTTCGAACCCACTGTACAGGATCGTGGATGGACAGTTCTGACGAATCTCATACTAAGACGAAACGGCCGTCTAGTGCCTTTATGTTTTCAATGGTGGTCTATTACGATGTTCACTTATTGTTTAAGATGTACATAGAGGTATAACCTTCTAGATACTTGTCCTCCAGTGATAGCCAAAATCAATCTTTAAATGTTTTAGTTACATAGACTATTATTTCCAACTATTCTTTCTATGTCTTACACTGAATATTGAAAATCTTGTTACTGTGTGTATTTTAGTCTCACATTTCTTTCAGTTGCTTCTCTTTTTGTTCTTATTGTTAATATCACCATCTTCACTGTATTATTCTTTTGTTTTAAAGCTCGGTTCTTCTCGGTACTTGTGTAAGGTATTCTCTTTTAAAAATAACATGCATTTACGCTAGATCCAATGTTCCGTTCCGTAGTTATGTTTATAGAAAAAAACTGAATAGTAAAGGATTGGTGAAAATGAAATATATTCACATCACAAAGATATATTGTTCATTTAGATGATATAATTCTGTCTGTAAATTTAATTCGTAAGAGGTGCGATATTTCGCCTAATCATTGATTGCTTGAAAGATAGGACCGTATTTCGTTTTTAAAAAAAAGTAAACAGTATATATAGACAACATTTTACAGTTCTTGGTAATGTTACTTGTCAAATGGTGATAAACAAAATCTACCTACTTCATTATTTATCGTTCACTCAGTTGAAACAAATAGTTTTTATTTTTTATTTGACAACACATCATTCATTGATTGATTTTCTGGATTTTTTTTTACCTCAGTTAGGTCAAATAAAGGGTTTTTGAATGTTTATCACAATGTAAATATATCGGGAAGTGATGTGATGTCAGTCTGTAAAGACACAGTTTACTTTATTGCAGTGGTCTAATGATTAAGGTGTCCGATTTTTAGCCGCCAAGTTTGGACCGGTCCAAACCCATTTTCACTTACTAAGATTGAGGTAAATGAGTTCTCATACAAAAACACTGATCATCGTCCTCAGGGTCACAAGGCAATAGTCTTCTTTCCACACATATTCATTAAAGAATCTCATATTATGTTGTTTGTAAGTACCTACAATTCTTAAGTATAGACTATTTCTACTTACTATCTTGGAAAATTCATTTTCATTGATCAAGAATTCTCCTAGTAGTATCTGTTCTCGAAGTGCCTAACGATCACATCAGGTCACTAAGGGTTTGAGTTGTTGTGTAAAGTCCGAAGGAGAGGTTGATGAAAGAAACGGCAACAACTGAGGGCCCTAGTTGCTAACTGTGGACATTGTGATGTTTATCAGAGTAATAAAGTAGTTATATTAGTCACGGTTGACTGGTGGATAAACTTCAAAGAAAATGAAGAATCCTGTTTATCACCTTTCATTATATTCTTCTACTTATGATACATAAAAGGAAGTCGATCACTAGTCAAATAGTTTGCTATATTCTACACTACATTTGGGAGCCAGGGCTATAAAAAAATATGAAGCTCTATCTTATCGTATTTATGTGCTTTTAACAAAGTAACGTGTATGAGAAAAATTTCTAGTAGATTCTAAATAACTATATAACTAATTGTGTCGCCAATTCAAAAGTAGTAAACAGTTATCAACTGAACTTATGAATTCATTATCAGGAACCCTTTCTTAAACCTTTTTGACTCATTAAAACCTTAATTGCATCTTTATTGATTTCATTCAAGACGTTTTATATGGAATTTCTTTCGTTTGGAGAATGAACATTTGAATAATTGCGGTCAATTTAGAGCTGTTCGTGATATATTTATTACACCTCTACCTAAACGGCCGCCAAGAACATCATCGTTAACAACATTTGGAAATTCTAATTCTCATAGTGTATTTAGTTCGAAATTGGCTCGACCAAATGTTCACTCGAAATATTCAGGGAAACCGGTTGGATATTCTCCGGATGATGGCCGAAGAAGTGTACCTGATTTTACACGAGATAAATCTTTTAATTCACCACATAAACCCAGTCATTTCCAAGCATCTGACTCATTAAGATCTAGAAGAACATATGACGTTAAGGATACTGAGCACGAAAACTATTTAACAGAAATTAAAACCTCTATGGAAGACAACGATTTGTTTTCACAAGAGGAAAAACAGGAAAATCCATTTCATCGATTTTGGAGACATATGAGATCGTTAGGAAAAAGTTCATCTCATTCGAAACATAGTAATCATCAATTTGACGCTAATTACGAGTTGTCGATCAATGAAATCTCTGATAACCCAATCGAAAATAAACCTACATTTACCTTATTTATTGATGATGCAGATGACAATAATCTTCCGAATACATCTAATCAAATGCCAGCTTCATTTAATTCCAGAGAGGAGCATTCTTCATTAGAGAAATCAAATGAAATCTCACCAGTAAAATCGAATTCTAATCAACCAAGTGCTTCTAAGTCTCATCCTTATATAAGGGAAAGACGTGTTCTTATACTGAATCACCAGACAGATAATGAATCTGGAGAACCTTATGAAAAGTGCAGGCTTGATGTAAGTTATAGTATATATTACTGCATAATTTTCATTTACTTCACGGTATAAAAGCTTCATTTTAAAGACTGAGTGTTTCCGTGTTCTTTAAAGTAGAATACAAAATATTTTAGCTTGTAAAAAGATAACCATTTTGTCCTGTACTTCATAATTAAACCTTCAACAATCAATAATAACATGAGGCGGATATGAATGATATTAGGACATTTTATATTTACTGAGACTAGGCATAAACAAAGAAAAATATCCCTGTTATAATCATAAAGCTCAATTTTTATCTTATGACGGTAGTACATTTCTTCGCTTACCTATATTTATCTTTTAGTATTTCACTAGATTATCAAATCTGGTTTGAATTTTAGCCAACAACTTGGGTGATTTATGAATATTCCATTGAATATAAATATAGTTTTTATCGTAAACTTGGGTTAGCTGGATACTTCGCCAGTGTACACTCACTTTCTCAAACTATATTAAACCCGTATGTTTCTGATCTCATAAGGAGCATAGTATTTTTAGACTAATAGGTTAGAATCCAGCAATTCGATTTTCAGTTCACTTAATAGACTTCTGATCATTTATCTAACTTAGAGACCATCACTATAGTTGTTCAGGGTGTTTTTCTTTGGCTTTACCTGAAGTCTAAATTGAATATTGACAAAACTTTCTTTGTTACTTTATTCCATTGTGGTAATATCTTCTGCCCTGTTTAGATGAAATACACCTCTACTAAAGAGTTGATCCAGACATATTGATTAGATAAATATCCACAGCACTTTCGTTTGGTATTTATCCATAAGGCTGGTTTAAGTTCAACATTTCTGTTTAGATGTGAAAATTTTTTATTCTTAGCACGTACTAAATTGAAGGATTTTTACACAATAACGAACTAGAGATAAAGCGGAAAAAATATATTCAATATATGTCTCTCGTCAATGAAATTTTGAAAATAAAAAACTGACTCATAGAAATTATACATATGCCACGGTCACTGGTCTAACTGACTAGTCTCAAATTGGGGGAAATGCGTGACCTGGATTTCAGTGATGTCTGCTAAGTAACTTTGCCAAAAATCACGTAATTATTGTTTGTTTTTCGTTGAAACTTTTCATAAAGCGGTGAATATTAAATATTTGTTAGTCAGTAACCTAGTTTACAGTGGTTATGTAAGCAATACTGCTTTAAAGGTTATAAAAATAACAAAATTTCAGAGCATTAAATACCTCATTATTTTGTTTATTTACTGATTTGAGGTAAAATTCCATTAGTTATTTGTAATAAAAGCCATTAATCATAATAGGAGTTTGTTTTTTCTCAATGAAAAAGCAGCTCTGTAGGAATGTTATGCTTTTCAGTGCTTGTTTTCAAATAATTTATCTACTACCAAGTGAATCATAACCCTGAACTCGTTTTAAACAACCTACAATTCATTAATTCAATGTCTAAAAATAAGAAGTAAAAACGTTTGCTTCGTTAAAGTGCAACGTAATTTTATCATAATGCATTAAAGGATCATTTTTATCATGAATCACTAAAATCTTAGGTCGAAAAATACTTTTCACAATCTATTACAATAATATTCAATGAAGGCTTTGATGAAAAACGAAACTGGTGTTTTTCTTTTTGTATAGACTCACTGAACCTGGCTTATGTCGATATAAAGAGTCAGACCATACACATCGTTTATCTTAAGTAAGCTAACTTGAACAATAGATGGATGAAAAATGGAGTTTGTAAAGAGTTTTCACTAAATTTACAGACACATCAGTTACTTATTTACTCATCTTATGATTTGTTAAACAGCAAAGAATGTAATACTGGATAGTACTTGTGTTTTCTTAATGAATGACAGTTGTAGCAATGGTGATACTTCATCACCCAAATATACTTGTTTTTCTTCAAAATATAACTAAGGACAAAACTTTGATAGAAATACGTTTGAACTACCATATGAACCATAAAAACACTGATTAGTGCCATTTTCAAGTAGAACTGTAAAAATGGATCTTTAATATGGAAATATTAAGATCAGTTTTTAAAGTGGTCTACTAATACAAACAGAAGTGAAATTGATCTCTTTTGAGAAAAGCAATGTTTATTTTACTACTGTATGAATTCTTTTCAATTTATTGAAATTTGATCCCTGTTTCATATGACCAGTGCTTCCCAGGCTTGAAATTATTATTATTATTACTATTGTGATTATTATTACTATTAATGAGGTCATTTAAATAGATGATTTATGATAATGTAATTATTCACTCAGCATTTCATAATTAAACTACTTGTCGATATTATACAATTATTTTTTTTTACCAAATTATGGTATTTACTTGATGGTTTAAATTAGAATTAAACAGAAAATCACTCTGACGCATCTTTAAACCTTACAAATATTTACTTTTCTGAACATTTCCACTAGTTGAAACGGAGAAATTCACATTTAAGCATTATATCATTATTAAAGGATTCACAGTTTGAAACATCTCAGAATTCTTGAATGAGTAAAATGCAATAATACTGGACATTGGTTTAGTACTTTTTATATTTATTTAAGGAATTCAAAACATTCGATCGAGTCGCCTTTATTTAGCATTAATGAATTCTTTGTTTTGATAGATTTTAATGGTTGAATAGTTAGATTATCTCCGAAGTTATAATCATTGTTGATCTTCAGTAATTCAGAACACATGTAGAATTTTATTAAATAAAGATGGTAAATATATCAGTCTTGTTGACGTTATTGTTTTTTATCATATATATCAACGATAATACTAAATCCGTTCATAACCTTGTACATCACTATAATTAATCAATCAATTCTTACTGTTTCTTTATAGCCGACTCAGGAGATCATAAAAGATTATTCATCATCTCCGCTAAAAAAATTACCGCCGAAATCTATTTTAACATCAGGTAGAAAGTTAGGTATTTGTGATCATCAGCCGGTAGATCAATGTACATTAAATGTCGATGACAATGAGAATAAATCAAATAATCCATGTGATTCTGTAACCAATTCTAATCGTAATGCATTTGAACAATTTTTGAAAATGCATGATAATTTATCATCTATCAATGAATTAGGTCATTCAAATACGTCAGTATCTCATATTAATCAAGGTTTTGTTGGATCTAATCAACCGGACAATGAATTACCTAATACATTTAATAATAATAATACTGTAATTAATGATTGTCAAATAATAATAAGGGATCCATCACATATGGGAATCGTTCAACATGAAAATGAGTCACAGTATACTATTCCTGTTACGTTGATTTCTAACAGTGAATCTAATCAAAATTTATCAACTACTACACAACTAATGGATAGTAAACATGGGTTATAGAATGAAAAATGAATTCATTGAAATTATCAGTTCATAAAGGATACACACAGCAGAATAGGTTAGTTTCTTTTCGTTGATATATTTAATTTTGTTTGTTACACATTTTCTTATTGTTTTAGTTATTTATCCATTTACTGGAAATACTATTGTTAAAATTACTTTCATTGTCTTTTCAAAGTGGTAATTTTAAAATCACATATTTGATAAATTCATATTGGTACTTTGTTTAAACATAAATCATGTAAACTGAATGTACTCTATCATAAGTGTCAGTTTTAAATCAGAAATAGCCATCAGCTGATAAATGATTATTTTCATACACATTAAACATATTTTCCTGATAATAGTTTTTAAGAAATAAAAGCTTTCAAATAAATTAGACTTTAAAATACGATAATAAAATCTATTTTATTTAATATTGTACTTTTGGTTACATTAAATAGTTTACATGACTAAATGTACAGTATTGCTATAAGTTCTAAAATAACATACATCATACTTAGAATTCTTCCAAAAAAAAATGTATGAAAATGATTTTAGCATTTCTTATCTCCTAATCATCTTACATCGTAAACATCTACGATAATGTTTAATGCTTGAATTCCATTGTATTCTCCTCACATTTCTTTAAAGTTTATGCAAAAACTAAAATATCTCAATAACAGTGATATTTCTGTTTGTACCTTGAATGTTTTTTCTATTAGGTTATGAACATTTTACAAAGGCGTTAGAACACATTTTATGATGTACATCTAAAATTACTTATTTCTATTATATTTCTATTTTATTGCAACAACTACATAATTTGAAGTAGATGATGCAAACGTTTAAGTTGGTCATTATATATGTTATTTATGAGTTAATCTTTTCAACATATAGCTTCATTGAAACAAACATTAATATTATTCTTCTAAATATAATTAACCATTAAATAAATAAACACTCATTAATTTATTCATGATGGATGGTAGTTTTAGAATGAAAATATTAAATAACGATTTATTAGGTTATTGACTTCCGTTACGATGATTCTGTTTATCAACTTTACATTACATTATTACTATGTAAAAGTATATTTTAACATAAATTCTGAACTGTAGTAGAATTTTAAATATTATTAAACTATATTTTTTAATATATAAATATAAAATCTCTACTTAAAATTATTTTAAGAAATACAGAAATTAAACTTTAGTTAGTGGATATTAAAATACAGTAAACACATGTAAATATCTTTGTATCCAGATGATAACTTGCTTCCGTCATTAGTGATTACGAGTTATGCTTTGTTGTATCCTTTTATTCTTCCATTTTAACACTTTACGAAATAACTTCTCGTTATTTTTTTAGAGAACAGATGCAATATGATAAGTAGTGGAATCCAATACACTTGTTTTGTCTTGTTTGGGACTCATCAGATGAATCTACTTGGGTCCTAGTTTTGATATTCACACTAGAACTCAAACAGAGTACCTTTTGATTCAAAAACTTAACGCGTTTTCTTCTGAGCTACTGACTCCATATAGCCACTAGCTTGTGCAACTAAAAAATAAAATCCATTATAATATGAATTCAAATTCATACCCGTTGAACAAGCTAGTGGCTATCTGGTGACATTAGCTCAATGAATAGCGCGCTAGGCGTTTGAAGAAAAAGGTACTCTGTTTGAGTTCCGGTGTGAGTATTAGTACTAGAACCCAGGCAGGTTCAGCCAACGAGTCCCAAACAGGACGAAACTCATGTCTTGGATTCCACTACTTTCCGCATCCCATCTATTCTCTTGAAATAATGTCTACATCGAGGCAATCCACACAAGGTTCACACATACCAATTAACGCTGGTTAAAATTCAGTCAAGAATATCAGCAACGGGAGAAACCAAACCATTACATATTGATTTTCAGTATGGGACTGTGAAGATTGTTGGATTTCAATGGAATCATGGACCGATCAATGTGAGGACAACATCGAAAATCTGGAAGCCGTGACCAATTGAAGTCAACTGTGTCAAGTATTACGCAGTTATCCACCGAACACAATGGGAGATGATCGCGTAATATCGAGGATTGGTTGAAATCAGATGTTAACGCCGTTAAATATCGGCCCTTCGCCATTGCAAACGATTTTCAGCCATGTCATTCAAGGTCCCTAACCATCGTTTGCTGTCGTCTTGCGAATCCCAAATAGGTAGTCTGCACTTACCAACATGGCTCAGTTCACTTGTCAGTGACTTCATGGATTTGCGCCATGTTTTGGTCTGGCCGCCTCAGCTTTCGACCTACTTCTATGCCACTGAACATCGCACGTTGGGACAGTCGGTGGTTGAGCGCACGTAACGCATGCCCCAGCCATCTCAACTGATGAAGTTTCACTACTTCATCAATTGATTTGCCATTCTTACCTAGTATCCGTTTCCTAAGAACTGCATTACTTACTCGGTGGTGCCAGGATGTACGAGCAATGCTTCGAAGACTCCTATGATCGAATACTAGTAATCTACGAATATCCTCTACTCTTGCCGGCCATGTTTCACTGCCATAAAGTAGGACGGAACAAACTGCTGCGCAGTAAACCTGTCCTTTGGTTGGTAGATGGATATCTCTCCTACGCCATGGATGACGCAAGATGACAAAAGCTAGTCGAGCCTTCTGTATCCGTGTTGAGATTTCGTCACACACCAGACCAAACGGGCTGATGAGACTGAGGGTTCTGGTTTCGAATCCAGTGTGTGGGATCACGGATGAACACTTCTGAGGAGCCCTATACTAGGATGAAGCAGCCGTTCAGTGCTTTCAGGTTTTCAATGGTTGTTTAACATTGATCGGTTTATGACTTCATATAAAGAGACGAACACTAATCAGAACGATTTATACATTGAAATGATAGTAAAATAAGGAACTAGATATTTCGTTTCTGAATACAAAAATTAATTTTAAGTTGATAAATTGTCAAATCCCCAGCTATGCACAAATTTTTTTACCCAGTTTTCTTCGAATTCAGTTTGTTTGACTTTGTGTGTAATTTTAAGTGACGTTTCTGGTAGAGATAGGTGATCAAATATTCAATAATGGAGATATTGACTGATTTACATTCACCTTTAGATATCTGTGTAGTTATACGGCTTTAGTAAATAACATTGTCGAAAACAGAACTTTCCTCACTGAATTGCCATTATTCAGTCTTAAACTTTTTCATTTCAAATTAAATTTATTATAATATATTTGGTATATATTGCCCTATTGTATTTCTAATAATAACACGAATAATTTAAAGAATTTTGTTTAAAAAGGTTTCAAATATTTCGTAGAATTTGCAAAGAAATGTTTATACATATATCAATCATCTTCAATAAATATTGATCCTGCCTTTCATTATCATAGCTTTCTACATATGAACTTAATTTTTATCATTAGTTTTCAAGTCTACTGAAAAAAAACGTTAATTGACGCAGATTGTTTGATAAACAATAATGGCATATTTTTACAATTATGTGTATATATTGATTATTAGTAAAGTTGAACTGTTTCATTGTTGCTTGTGACAGTTAACATTTTATAAGAGTTGCCTTTGTTATCTTCGTAATTTTTTTTGCAAGAGATAATACAAATGCCATTTTCTAGAGAATGAGATTTTACTTTGGTGATAAGAATTAGTAAACAAGAAAGTCTGAGTGCTTCTTGACTTGTACCTCGAAATATATAACACAATGTTGATGTTTTAACACTGCTTTGCTCACTTGACTAACATTATTGATTGACTACCATAAATATCATTTGACAAATAGCCTATCCTTATATGGAATTCAATTTGGTAGTATTAAGTTTAAAGTTAAGCGATTTTTATTAGTAGATTGATTTATTCATTTGAAGTCTAGGTAAAAATGTACTCGATAGCTGGATGTAATTAAAACTTCGTCAGAGTTCGGTTAGCAGTGGATATGTCTGATAATTTGATTTGCAAACCTATGTGCCTTCAACAAACTGGTCATAGGCGGCCATCAGACAAACCAAGAGCAGTAAAGCGATGGGACCAGACAACATTCCAGCAGAAGCACTGAAAGCGCACACAGCAGTAACTGAAAAGATGCTCAACATTCTCTTTAGCACGATTTGTGATGAAGAACAAGTACTAATATATCTGGAAGAAGGACACCTGATCAAGATACCAAAGAAAGGCGATCATAGCAAGTGTGGAAATTACAGAGCCATCATTCTCCTCTCAGTACCAGGTAAAGTCTTTAACAGAGTGTTGTTAAGCAGAATGATGCATTCCGTAGACGCCCAACTTTGAGACCAACAGGCTGGATTCGTAAGGATAGATCGTGTACAGACCGAATCGCAACTCTACGGATCATTGTAGAACAATCAATTGAATGAAATTCATCACTCTACATCAACTTCATTGACTACGGAAAAGCATTTGATAGCGTGGGCAGAACAACATTATGGAAGCTCCTTTGATACTACGGTGTGCCTCAGAAGATATTCAATATCATACAGAACTCCTATGATGGATTAAACCGCAAAATCGTGCATGGAGGACAGTTGACAGACTCGTTCAAAGTAAAGACCTGTGTCAGACAAGGTTTCTTACTCTCACCCTTTCTCTTTCTCTTGGTGATCGATTGGATCATGAAGACGTCAACATTGGGGTGGAAGCATGGGATACAGTGGACATCTAGGATGCAGCTGGACGATCTAGACTTCGCAGATGATCTGGCCCTCCTATCGCAAACGGAACAACAAATGCAGGAGAAGACGACCAGTGTAGCAGCAGCCTCAGCAGCAGTAGGTCTCAACATACACAAAGGGAAAAGCAAGATCACTGTTTCCAAACAACTTGCACCTCAGAACAGTTCACAAAATGTCGAGTCACTTGGACTACTCTGTACCTTAATCTATGAAATTAGATCTGCAATAAAGAACTAGACAAATATGATTTCGGTCACTGTATAGTGATTGTTTAACTGTAACTTTTGACATATTCATTATAAATAAATTTCAAAATACTTGGGTCATTGTGAATAATTTGACGCTGATTTTCGACATTAACTAATTAT